GACTCATGACAAGTTTGGGTTTTTTTTAATTGCTTTTTCATTTTATTAATATTTTTTTACATTCTAGGATATTGTTGCGGAACAGATGGGAGGGAGGAGCAGAGGGGAAATGGGAAGGAAAGGTGATGGAAGGATGAGGGGTAGGATTGAGGCCTGTGGCACCCCCCTCATTCCCACAGGGAATACCAGGGAACTTCCAGCAGTGGCTTGGTCATTTCTGGGCTGGGTACAGATGTCAGGGGTGTATGGCAAAAGCCCTTGCCCGCCACCATCCCAGCTCAGGAACACCGGGGCCCTTCTTGCTGCAGCTTGGTGGTCACCGCTGGGCTGCCTGCAGCTATCGGGGGACATGGCTGAGGCCCAAGGCCCCCCACCGCCCCAGCTTGGGAGAGCCTGGGGTGCACCTTTGTAATTTCATTTTTAAAACCCACCAACTTTCATTTTTGCCATATCTTCTTTTTTTCTTCATATTTTCTTTTATAGAATTTTTGAAAGTTGCTTTCCTGTTATTTAGAATTGCACTGTCTAATATGGTAGCCACTAGCTTCAGGTGGCTATTTGAATTAAAATTAATTAAAATGAGCAAAAGATTTAAACAGGCACTTCTTCAAAGATAGGGGTCTGGTCAATAAGGAAGTGAAAAGATGCTCAACATCATTAGCCATTAGAGAAATGTAAATTAAAGCCACAGATAGATGACACAATACACCCATTAGACTGGCTAAAATAAAAAATACTAACAATACCAAATGCTAATGAGGATGTGGAATCAACCAGGTCCCTCACACATTGCTGGTGGAAATGCAAAATGGTTTAGCCACTCTGGCAAACAATTTGGCAGTTTCTTATAAAGTTAAAAATATAATTACCATTCAACCCAGCAATCACACTCATGGATATTTACCCCAGAGAAATGAAAACTATATTCACACAAAAACCTATGCACTAATATTCTCAGCAGCTTTATTTGTAATATTCAAAAACTGGAAACAACATAAATGCTCTTTAATGGGTAAATGGGTAAACAAACATTGGTATATCCATAAAATGGAATACAACTCAGCAATATAAGGGGACAAACTGTTGTAGTAATGTGAATGAATCTCAAAAACGTGTTAAGTGAGAGAAACCAAACTCAAAAGGTTATATACTGTATGATTCCATGCATAAACATTTTTTAAATGACAATTGTAGTGATGGAAAACAGATCAGTGTTTGCCAGGGGTTAGGGTTGGGGCAACTGTGTGACTACAGAAGGGTAATATGAAGGTGGAAGTTTTATGGGACAGTTCTGTATTCTGATTATTGTGGTAATTATTATAAAAAGAAAAGAGGGAGAGGAAGGAAGGAGTGAGTGCATGTAAAACTGGTGAAATCTAAATAAGGTCTGTAGTTAATAGTACCAATGTCAATTTCCTGGTTTTGATCATTGTTCTATGGTTGATGTAGGATGTTAAAATTGGGGGGAACTAGGGGAAGGTTCACAGAAACACTCTGTACTATTTTTGCAACTATTGTGTGTGTGTCTAAAATGATTTCAAAATTAAAAGGTTTTGAAATTAAAATTAAGTTCTTCAGTTGTACTAGCCACGGTTAATGTGCTCAGTAGCCTCATGTGGCTAATGACAGCAATATCGGACAGTGTAGATAAAGAATATTTCCATTAATGCCATTAAAAATTAATTCCATTAAAGAATGTCCATTATTGGACAGCACATGTCTGACTTTAGCCAGTGTTCTCTCTTCCTTGGCTATTTCAAATTCCAATATAACATGAATACTTTCTTGTTCTTTCTGTCACGTTATCTTATCAACCAGTTGTTTTGGTTATTTTCAGGCCTGGAAAAATACTTCTCTTTATTTTCTCAAATTTCAGAAAAAAACGGTTGTTTTATGGCAACTTAAGAACTTATCTGACATGTTTTAATAGGTGTCTGGATATCTAAATTTTCCAACACTCATGTATTTTGCCTCTGCACCAGTTTTATCAACTGTATTAGGAAATAGTCCTAATATCTCTAATATAGTTATCCTACTACAGTTTCTCAGCAGAATCCTTTGTGTTTACCTTACTTTTATCTTCACTCAAAAACTCTTTCAAAAACGTGGATTTCTGAAAAGTTGCTGTTTGTCCCTGTGTTTTGGATGTGCATCTTTTGAAAAGTAATTCCTCCCATTGCCGTGTTCTCATCTTTTTTCCATAACACACTTTTTCCTCTGGCTTCATTGTATTTTCACTTAAGAATTACTGGGCACCTCCTTTTCTATTATATTTACCATATTATATTTACCTTTCTCCTTCAGCTCCGTCTCTATCCTGCATGATATCTGGTTTTATAGTTTTATATAAGACATCACCTGAGATTTGAAGACAGGGAGGTAGAGGATGAGACAGTAGTTCAAGATCCATTCACATGGGCTGGCCCGGTGGCGCACTGGAGAGTGCGCTGTTGGGAGTGCGGCGGCACTCCCGCCGAGGGTTCGGATCCCATGTGGAGACCGGTTCCCGCTCACTGGCTGAGCGCGGTGCGGGCATGACACCGAGGGTTGCGATCCTGTTACCGGTCAGTAAAAAAGACAAAAAGGAAAAAAAAAAAAGATCCATTCACATAACAACAGTGTTAAGACACTGAGGGACAGAAAGAATGGGGTGTGACCCACCTGAAGAAAACCACAAAGGGAGAGAGAAGAGAGTATTGGAATTAAGACTTATATAGGAGTATCTTCCTGGGTAAAAAAAATCTAAATGTTGTAATGTCAGTGTTCCATCACAATAATTCATAAGCTTATTGCAATTGTAATCAAACGCCAATAGGATTTTTCTCAAAACTGACAATTCAGCAATTCATCTGGAAGACCATCAAAGAATAGGAAGCAATGCCAGGTAATAAAACTTAATAAGACAGAAATATTTACAATAATCTAATACTGGCACAAAAACAGAATAATCATTGGATCCAAAGAATCAGGAAATTAATGAGTATAAGAATTCAACACAAGAAAGGATTCTTCACAAATTAATTATGTTGTTTCTGTATTCACTAAGTGTCTAATACTTAAATGGACAAAAATAGACAATTTACCAAGGGAGAAATAAATAAGCAAAACAAACAGTTTCCTAGAATTAAATAAAATGTGAGAACAATGAAGTACTCTTGCTCATTGTGAAATGGATAAAGATTTTTATTGCTAACCAGTACTTCCTTGTTAGTATAGTGGTGAGAAAAAACCAAAAAACAAAGAACACTAATGCTAATGATGGTGCAGTGAAACTGATAACTCTCCTTAGTTGCTGTCATTATCTCCTTCCTGGCATTGCCTTACTGCACCATCCTTGATGCAATAGGATCGCACATACCTGTTGGCTATGCCTTTGAAATATATACAGCATCTAAACATCTCAACTGTTACTATGCCAGTCCAAGCCCTCTAGCCTTCTGGCCTGGCTTATTGCAGTAGCCCCTAACTTGTTTCCTTGCTTCTTCTCTTGCTCCTTTACAGTCTCTGAACATAGCCCAAATTACAAATTTAAAATGTAAGTCTGATCACATTATTCCTTTTCTCACTAGGCACCAGTTGTTTTCCCAGCTCACTCAGAGTTAAAGCCAATTTTATCATAGTTTTCTATAGACCCTGCTTGATTTAGTCCTACCTTTCCTTTCTGAACTTGTCTCCTACATTGTTCCCCTTACTTGCTCTGCTCCAACCACTTTAGTCTCCATGTCATTCTTGTAGTAAATCAGGCATGCTTCCCATCTCAGGGCCTTTGCACTTAACAGTTACTCTGCCTAAGATGATTTACCTCATAATACCTCCTTGGCCTACCCCACCCCCACTTCTTTCAGGTCTGTATTCAGATGTCAGTGAGGTCTTCCCTGACTTCCTTTTGTGAAACAGCACCTTCCCATCCTTTCTAAACCCTTGTCTTGCTTTATTTTTTTCTATAGCTGGCACATATCGCCATCTGATATGTGCTAGACCATCGGCTTTATGAGGACAAGGACTTTGTTTTATTCACTGCTGTGAATCCCTTTCTCTTAGAAAGTACCTGACTCATAGTAAGCACTCAGTATTTGTTGATTGAATACATTGATAGAACCATTTGGGAAAGCTACTACAACATGTTTTAAAAGCCTATTTTTTTAAGGTAAGAGAATAATGGCTAAGTAAATTCTATCCACTTGATGAAGAGAGAGAAATATCTGAATGGGGCAGCGTCTGGAAGAATGGGGTCAAGAGTAGTAAAGGTTATTTTTTTCTCTCATTAAGAAAAGAAAATGATGGAAGAATAATTCCGAGCGTAGAGGAAGTTTCAGGATCAAGAACAGGCACTATGTGTTGGCAGTCTTTTGAGAACACTAGATTGATGGAAGCAAAAGGTTGGTGCAGGGGAGTAGTAGAAAATACCATTATAGGTGGGTGGGTACAGATGTTGAAGGGCTTGAAAGTGAGTCAAAAGAGGTAGACCTGCCATGATGCATGATGGAGATCAGTAATGTGAGTTCTTGAGCTATGAGGGATGAGAAAGCTGTCTAAATCTAAGCTTTTTTTTTTTTTTTTTTTTTTTTTTTTAAAAGATGACCGGTAAGGGGATCTTAACCCTTGACTTGGTGTTGTGAGCACCACGCTCAGCCAGCGAGCGAACCGGCCATCCCTATATGGGATCCGAACCCGGGGCCTTGGTGTTATCAGCACCGCACTCTCCCGAGTGAGCCACGGGCCGGCCCCGAAATCTAAGCTTGTTAGTGTCATGTAAAGTGGCAAAGAAAGTGGGATAAGTATCAACTGGGAGGCAGTTGCAGAGTTGAGGTAATACTACCCTAGGTAGTAAGGAGTTTAGGGTGTGATGACACAAACGGGTGAATTGAGTATCGGTGATTTGGCAGAGAACAGGCCTGGTGATCCATTGCATATGGACTGTAAAGAAAGAGAACATTAAATGTTCCAATATTAAGAAATTATACTTCCTTTTAATTATTTTCTTTTTTCATTATAGGTTTCTCTGTCATCCACAGAAAAATGGATCATTTAAACGTTTGGAGGACTCAGTTATCACAGTACTTCCAGACTACCATCTAAGATTTATGACAGTAAATTTATGACAATAAATTTCCACAGTGTAGAACTTCTGAAGAACTAAGAGGATATTCTTTCACAACAGATACTCCTATAGTATCATGATATTACTAAATAAAAGTAAAAACTGAAAAGCACAATTATTAAATTATTAGACTTGCTAATACAAGCACACATGTGCAGCATCTACTGTATCCTGACAGTTACCAAACCTCAAATTTAGATGGTTTCCCTTCATGGGAAAAGTCATTATATTTATAAGAAACCCCTGAACATTGTCATTAAATATATTTTCAGCTGTCATTTAGGAAAATTTTCTTGAAAAAAGTTCTAGAAAGTTCCAAGTCCCACCACTAAGTGGATTTGATATTATGGCAGCAGCTTACAGACTTGTGGTTAGTACTGTGAACCACTACAGCAGTGTGGTGATTGACCGGCGTTTGGAGCAAACTATACATTATTGCACTGGAACCTGCCACACCTTCAGCCATGGAGTTGACTGCATTGTGGTGCATCATAGTGTTTGTGCAGATGTCTTACACATCCCTGTGTCTCAGTTCAAAGACGCAGATCTGAACTGTGTATTTCTACCCCATGAAAATGGGCTTTCCTCTGCTGAAGGTGACTACCCCCATCAGGCCCTCACAGGCATACCCAGGGTCAAGAGAGGATCTACATTTCAGAATACCTGCAACTTAAAGGACATTGCAGGAGAAGCAATCAGTTTTGCCAGTGGAAAAATAAAGGAATTTTCTTTTGAAAAACTCAAAAACTCTAATCATGTAGCTTACAAAAAGGGAAGAAAAGTTAAGTCTGACTCATTGAATAGAAGGTCGGTTGATTTTGACTTGCTCTGTGGTCACTATAACAATGATGGGAGCTCCCCATCCTTTGGTTTACTCCGCAGTTCCTCAGTCGAGGAAAAATCTTTGTCCTATAGAAACTCAATTGATACTAACCTGACTTCCATGCTTCTTCAAAACTTCTCTGAAGAAGACCTGGTTAATCAGATTTTGGAAAAACATAAAATAGATAATTTTTCTTCTGGGACAGACATAAAGATGTGCTTGGACATCTTGCTGAAATGCTCAGAGGATTTGAAAAAATGCACAGACATTATAAAACAGTGCATAAAGAAAAAGTCAAGGGGTAGCATCAACGAAGAAAGTAGTAATGATGCCATTTCTAGCTCTGAAACTGTCTATATGAATGTAATGACCAGGTTAGCATCCTACCTGAAGAAGTTACCATTTGAATTCATGCAGTCTGGGAATAATGAGGCTATAGACTTAACAGAACTAGTCAGTAATATGCCTAGCTTACAACTAACTCCCTTCTCCCCAATATTTGGCACTGAACAGCCTCCTAAATATGAAGATGTTGTCCAGCTCTCAGCCCCTGACTCTGGACAGTTTCAGACTATAGAACTGCAAGATGACAAGCATAATTTCAGGAAAATGGACACTGTAAAGTCTATTCCAAACACTTCCACAAATTCTTTATATAACTTAGAGGTAAATGATCCCAGAACTCTAAAAATTGTCCAGTTACAATCACAGCCATTAACAATGAGCCCATTAGAAAATGTTTCTTCTGGAGATTTAATGGAAACTCTTTATATTGAAGAAGAGTCAGATGGAAAGAAAGCACTAGATAAAGGACCAAGGACAGAGAATGGACCCAGTCAGGAGTTGTTAAAGATAAATGAACATAGAATAGAACTTTCAGACCATGGTTCTCATCTTAAAAAATGTCCTGCCTCAGTGCAAAATGAAATTGGTAAGCTATTTGAGACACCAGTTGTGCATCTACCTAAGGAAGACTGTAAATTAAAAGTTCCTAATGTTGAAGAGCAAGACCAGAGAGATTTTATGAATCCTAACAGTCAGGAAGAAATAGATAAATTGTTAATGGATCTGGAATCTTTTTCACAGAAAATGGAGACCTCTCTAAGAGAGCCACATGCCAAGGGTAAAAACTCTAATTCTCTTAATAGCCGTAGTAATTTGACTAGTCGGATTCCTTTAGATCTTGACCCTCAATCTAAAGTCTCTTCACCCTCAGAAAAAGTCTCACCTTCCTGTCTAACAAGGATTATTGAAACCAATGGACACAAAATAGAAGAGGAGGATCGAGCCCTGTTACTGCGAATTCTGGAAAGCATTGAAGACTTTGCTCAAGAACTAGTTGAATGCAAAGCAGGCAGAGGAAGTCTATCACAAGAAAAGGAAATGATGCAAATTCTACAGGAAACCTTGACAACTTCTCCCCAAGCCAATTTATCAGTCTCTAGAGCTCCTGTTGGTCATAAAGCCAAAGATACTTCAGTGGTTTTGATTCAGCAGACCCCAGAGGTGATCAAGGTAAGACCCAACAATCTTGAGTCTCCAAAAAAATGTTTTAATGTTTGCAAAATTTATAAACAAAATCTATTTGGGGTGGAGGAGATTGGTTTTTTTTTTTTTTTTTGGTGGCTGGATAAACAAAAACTCTTTTTGTTATCCATTTTATATTCTACTTAAGCTCCTGCCCTCCACTAGGAATGATTTCACTCAATTCAGTCAGTAAAAAGCAAAGGCTTTATGGTCAAGCAGAATGGTTTCCAGTGCCCTCCCCACACCCTTCATCTTCTTCCTAACTCTGTGACCAAAGAAAAGTTATTTAGCCTTAATCTCATCTATGTAGTGGAAGTAATAAGGATCAAGATAACTTAAGGGAAGCACAAGCAAAGTGCCTTACAAAAAGTAGGCATTTAGTATTAAACCTCATTCTCCCCAATTAACCAAGAGACCAGTCCTTACTGCATGCCTGTGGAGACCTGGGTAAGGTGCAGTATAAGGTGCAAAAGAAGAGAGGATATGATCCTTAAAGAGCTTAAAATCTAGTTGGAGAGACAAAATTAACATTCCCGAAACAGGACAGGAGCATGTAAACACTACTCTGAAGGTATTGTTGGTGCAATACACCTGCAAAGAAGGTAACGACTAGAGTATGTGAGATTTGCTTTTCCATATGAATGAGAATAAATATCAATATAGAATCATAGAAGTATTTTCAAAAGGTTTTGAATCTATCCCCCTACTAATAGCATTGCTTTTGAATACTTCCAGAAAGGCAGTTATCTGCCCATTTGTGTCTTAGCAGAACAAGATCATTCCTTGTTCATTTTACAAGCCCAGCATGGGTTAGCAGGGTGCTCTACTCCACCTCACTCAAGGATTGAGGCTGATGGAGGCTCCATGATCTTACTGTTGCCCCACTGCCCCATCTGGAATATGCGGCTTATGGGTTTACTGAGGAAGGCAAGAAAGGGTTGGTGCTCTTAGCCACCTTTTCCCAGACATGACACACTGCACTTCTCGCAGTGCAGTGGTCCCAACTTAAAGTCTGAGAAACACAAGGAAGTACGTGTAATATGTTGTGAGCACTATCTTTGCCATGTGAATGTACTCTACAAGTCAACGTGTATGAATTCACAGACATAACGCCAAATCAACAAAATCAAGTTATAAAATATGAATTATTTTGAGAGATGTATATTTGTACAAAAAGTATGAAGAAATACATGGATCTGCCATGTATTTGATGTTCAGAACAATGGTTAACTCTGAGGAGAGGATAGAGAGATGCAGCTGAGGAAGGGTGTTCAGGAGCCTCGGGAATATTAGTGGTGGTCAATCTCATAATCTGGGTGGTGGAACCATAAGTATTTTGTCATGTTTTTCTATATGCCTTTTGTATATTCTCAAATATTACAAAGTAAATTTTTATAGAAACTGATTGGATATTAGAGATGGCATTTATGTGGCCAAGTTAAAAACAAGTTAAATAGTATTTCAGCCCTTCCCATTAAAATTTTCATTTGAGGAGAGGAAAAAAATGTATATTGTGATCAGATGAATAATTTTTACCTGGAATATATTTTGTGGCTGCTGTTTTGCAAAGCACATTTTTAGTTACCAGTGATACTAAAGTTTAAAACAGTACATATTTAAGGTTATTAAATGATGATTTGGGCTTGAATATCCTCAGATGTTCACTGACCATTTCTGTGAAATCTCTTAATGTGAGTCTCCTCATTTATTGATCCACAAATGGTAATATCTTTAGTTAACTTGGGACAACACTGGGGGGGGGGGACTGGGAATTAACTACAAAAATAAGAAAAGATCCTTTCATATACAGGGGTAATACTGATGTACTTAATATTTTATAAAGAAAAGGAGCTACCTATATAGCAACCTCAAAGTGATGATAAATAAGAGCTCCCAGTTATTGTAAGCTAGGGCTTGCTAAGGTATTTAGATTTATTATCTCACTGTTTTCCCCACCATAACTTGTCTGCCCATTAAAAACATATGTCCACCATTTCTTATGACCTATTCCAGCGTCTCACAACCATTATAACCAGAAACTCTTACATACTGTGTTTTGAATTTTATTTAACTTTCTTCCCCCATTATCTTTTGTGAAAAAAGGGGACAAATTCTTCTAAAAGAGATGCACTGTATAAAGTAGAAAATGTGGACCCAAGTTCCGAGTCACACCTCTCCTATCTCCCTGGTGCTCAGATCATGAGCAGGTCCTTTGTGACACCCCAAATCTAAGTACTACTGCCTAAAAATGCCACAGTGGGCTCTAAATTAGCTTCCCAGTTTTTCGGCAAGTGTGAACTGAAATCAAAACCTTATTAAAGTACTGTCTGCTGCCATTCTCTTAAATAAGTGCCAATACCACAGAATAAAATAAATTTTTTTTTCCTTTTTGTCTTGTTTTCGTGTCCGGCAACGGATCACAACCCTCAGTGTCGCGCCCGTACCGGACCGGGACCGGCAACGGGATCGCAAACCTCGGTGCTGCGCCCGCACCTCGCTCAGCCAGTGAGCGGGAACCGGTCTGTATGTGGGATCCGAACCCTCGGCAGGAGCGCCGCTGCGCACTCAAGCGGCGCACTGTAGCAGTGCGCCACCGGGCTGGCCCAGAATAAAATAAAATTTGATGGGATTTCTTTGTGATAAAAGTTGAAAAAGTAATTAATGAAAAGCTAATTTAAAGAGACAGGTAATATAAAATGTTTAATTCAGGAAGATGTTTAATGCAAGAAGGCAAACCGTTCTTCTTGACTCAGTTGTCTTCTTACTTGTCTTTTTTTTTTTAATCTTTCTTTTCTTCTCATGAAATACTTTAAGCCAGGAATGGCAAACTTTTTCTGTGAAGGGCCCGATAGTAAATATCTTAGGCTTTGTGGGTCACAGGGTCTCTGTCACATAGTCTTTTCTGTCTTTTTTCTAAAAGTACTTTAAAAATGTAGAATCATTCTCAGCTTCAAGACTTACATAAATAGGCAGCGGGCCAAATGGCCCATAGTCTGCTGTTTGTTACCCCTGTTTTAAGCAAATAGAAAAATATGGTAAATGGGCCGGCCCGGTGGCGCACTGGATAGTGCGCTGCTTGGGAAGCGCGGCGGCGCTCCCGTCCGAGGGTTCGGATCCCACATACAGACCGGCTCCCGCTCACTGGCTGAGCGAGGCGCGGGAGCAACGCCGAAGCTTGCGATCCCATTGCCGGTCCCCGGTCCGGTACGGGGGCAACACTGAGGGTTGCAATCCGTTGCCGGACACGGAAAAAAGACAAAAGACAAAAAAAAAAAAAAGAAAGAAAAAGAAAAATATGGTAAATGATATAAAAAGCACTCGTATTACCCACTACTTAGCCTTGTCAAATCTTAACATTTTGCCATATTTGCTTCGGATCTTTGCTGTATTTAATATTTTCAGTTATTATCATCATCTTTGTTTTTAAAAAATCATCTCAGATATAGCTGAAATCTACAGCGCACCCCTCTCCAGTGCCCTCTCTCTTTTCCAGAAGTAGCTACTTACTAGCCTGAAGTTGGTGTTTATCTCCTGTAGGTTCGTAGATTTTTATATAATGTTGTTTTTCTCTCTCTTTTTTTTTTTTTTTTTTTCCTCACAGTGTCAAATTATGTATATTATTGGCTAGCAAATTTTCGTAATATGCTTTTTTCACAAAACCTTATGTCCTATAGGAAACAACCCTACAGGTTCTAGAATAGTTGAGTTGTGCAGATGGGCCTAAAAGTGAGTTGAACAAGAATAAGAGAACAGCTTGTGGAGGAGGGAAAGGACAATATGGTTAAGGTCCTGAAAGGCTTCGTAATTACGAATGAGTGAATTACTGAGGACATGTTTGACATGGAGGATAATGAAATACTTTTTTTTTTTTTTTTTTTTGTCTTTTTCATGACTGGTAAGGGGATCGCAACCCTTGGTGTGGTGTGGCCCAAACCGTGCTCAGCCAGTGAGCGCACCAGCCATTCCTATATAGGATCCGAACCTGCAGCGGGAGTGTCGCTGCGCTCCCAGTGCCGCACTCTCCCGAGTGCGCCACAGGCTCAGCCCATGAAATACTTTTTTTTTTTTTTGTCTTTTTTTTCCGTGTCCGGCAGCGGATCACAAACCTTAGTGTCGCCCCCGTACCAGACCGGGACCGGCAACGGGATCGCAACCCTCGGTGTTGCCCCCACGCCTCGCTCAGCCAGTGAGCAGAAACCGGTCTGTATGTGGGATCCGAACCCTCGGCGAGAGCGCCACCGCGCTTCCCAAGCGGCGCACTAGCACAGTGCGCCACCGGGCCGGCCCGAAATACTTTTTTTAAAAAACGCTAAAACTATACTGATTTGGTAATTCACATAATAAATGACATCTTAATTTCATATTTTATTACCACCAGCAGATGGTATTACAGTCATTTTTGGTCTTGTTAACCTTATGAGGCAATAGCATATTAATGGTTTTTCACAGGTTAAAATAATAAACTGTAGCCTCCCTTAAAAATTATTTACTTTTACTTAATTTTAGTAAAATCAAAGCCAGGAAAAATTTTCCACTACTGCTTGCCTCAATTGAAAGAATGAAGGGTGGAGGGAGGATTCTTCAATGAAGGAGGAAGAATTTAAAGTAAATAAAGAGGAAGATTATTTTCTAGAAAAACTACAGTATAATATTTAAGTCTAGTGAAACCTTAAAATTTTCAGCTAATTGAGAAAAACAAAAAGTAGAAATTATAATCTTAATATTTTTAAGGAATAGCTTTATTAATTTTAAGATTAAAGAGTAAAATTATTATCAGTGTGTTGCCAAGTGGATTTTAGCTGTACCTATTTCAGTAATGTGGTAAAGGTAGTTATACATATTATTTATTGGTATGCAAAATGGAGATTGCTAAAATGCTTAAAAATAGATTGTTTCTACATAGTTTAACTATTCATAAGTCTGTATTTCTATGCAGAGCATGCAGTAGGAGATAAAGATGAATCAAATGTAGAGCAAGCCTTGGTGGA